GCCCCTGCGCGGAGCGGACCAGGGCAGGCGGTGGCCCCGGGCGGAGCACGGGGGACCGACGCCCGCGAGTCCCCCCAAGGAGCCTCAGGGCCGGCTTTCGGATCGCGCCGGTTCCAAGCAGCTACAGGCGGCGCGCGTATTCTGACGATTCTAGTTCATCCAACAAGCCGGTGAAGTTACCGCCGAGAGCGGGTGCCGGGCTCAGCTTTAAAAGTTACCGATTTTTCCAAAAGAAAAAAAAGAGAGAAAGCTCGCTCTAGCTTATGAGCGATGAGGAAGAGGAACGTCCCGTGTCATGTGGGGAAATCGAGTGTGAATCGGCAAAATATTCCTGATTTTAGAAACTCGCTTTGAAGCCGCTTGGCGTTACACCACCGTTAGCCTTCTCTTCCCCACATCTCCCACTCCCCCCTCCAGTTTTCATGTCCAATAAATGTAATAGGTCTCTACATTTGAGTGCGTTTTCCTTTGCCTATTCTGCCTTTTTCGTGGGTTCTTTGGGTGACCCTTCTCCTTGGGATGATCCATTGTTGTTGAGGGCGCCAGGCCCACCGGCCTTGGGAACCGACCTCAGAAACACTCCCGAGCCCACCGAGGAGGCTCCAGCTAAAGCTAAAACACACCTCCCCGGCTTTTCACGCCAAATGCGAACGTCTAGAACCCCCAGACGGCTCCCAAAGGTGCAGCAGGCGAGTGATTTCAACTACCCCTCTCTCCTTGTGGGTTGGCCCAGCTTGTGAGTGAGCTCCTGAGGTCAGTCCGAGTGGGCTGAATATCATATTTTGCAAATGGAGAAAATAAGGTCGAGATGGAAAGGCATAACAAGATAACGTTTAAGACTCAATTGTTTCTACAGGGAATAGCTGAAAATGATTAAGGTAAACGGATTTCTAATGAATCAAATGATAAAGGCATGCTTTGCTTAACTTTTAAATTAGCAGGGAGTGCAAGGAGGCTTTTGTTGTCGGCATGGTGACGGGTAAGGGTTTCTTGTTGTTTTCTGCCAGTTATCGCCAGGTAAAATTTCCTTTAAATCCGAAAGCGAACGAACTGATTCTGACAGTTAACGATTTGTACTCCAACCTTGCAAATACCCAATTAAAAGAGTATTATTTTCAATAAAGCCTTGGAATGCAATTGTGCCTTTTTATTTCACTGGCGTGTGTGCGTGTGCGTGTTTAAACCCTCGATAGTGGGTTTTGGAATGGAATGGGGGGAAAAGAAGAACGAGCCTAGATCTCAATAATACAAGGCACCTTCTAGAACTTTATGATTCCTGGGGCGGGAGGGCGTGGAGCGAGAAAGAAACCCTACAGAATTCATTTCTATGCATTCTGGCCTAATTAAGAAAACATTATAACACAACATTTCCTCCTGGGACAAAACACTTAGTTTTTTGGTTGTTTTTTTTTTCCTTCAAGCATTCTGTTTATAATCTGAATGGGAACAGAGTGCGATTAACTTCGTAAATAAAGATGTATGCTTTTACACATTTCTGTTCTGATACAATGCATTGACTTACCATAACGTTTTATAGTTTCAGCTGTGCCGTAGTCCAAATTTTCTGAAATCCTAAGCCAAAATTTTATAAGTAACAAACCCTTCCGGAGAATTTAACAGTGCACATTGCTTCTTTTTGCTTAAATTTATCCTAATTTGGAATTTAAAATAAGATTGTATCTTTAATCAAAACCTTCTTCCGCCGCAACTCCAGCTTTACTATCACAAAGTGGAGCAACGGCGCTCTCTAGTGGCCAAATGCCATCTCTAGCCGACGGAGCTTAACTTCTCTTTATTCGACACAAACCATTTCCAATCTTGTTCTTTAGTTTGACTGGGGCTTGGATCACTGACGCTAATAATGCTTCATCCCTTTGTCGACGAGTCAAGTGCAGCAAACAGGGGCTCCTGAATGCCAAAGATATTTGGGCTCCCAGGAGCTTCCAGTAGTGTCTTTTTCAAAAGCTTCCAGCCCTTCTTTTGCCAGACACAGTAAGTCCCCATTCTGTAATCGCCCACAATTATAGGATGGGCTAGATTTTTAAAAATCACAACTTTCTGAATATCAACTGCAACAGGCCTGTTTTTTTCCCCAATGGATCCAGGGACTTCAACAACTAAGAAATTATAGAAGTTACATTTGTTAATTTTTTTCTTTTAAAGCCGTTACACTTAGCATTAAATCGTGAATATTTGCTACTTTAACTTTGTAATTTTAATGCTTCAGGCCCATTTCACTGGACAATGGAGGGGGGATAGAAGTCAAATTAAAAGCTTTTTGCTGTATCTCTGAATGGCTGTCTGAAAAGGCCCTGTTGGGCGGTGTTCACTGGAACTTCTATGCACAATAAATGAGACATTAAATTTATATCAAAAGTCACATAGTGAAGTGAATTGACTAAGCATTCCACTTGTTTTTTTTTTTTTAAAGCCAAGACTTTAATCAGTTTAGGTGTGTCCTGAGAGGTTAATCTTTTTTCTCATTTTCAAAAATTCTTTCCTCTAATTCAGCTGTAACGATTAATTTTTCTATAAGCAAATATATATAATTTCCAACAACCTTTCTGCTACGAGGTTTGCAGTGGAGGGTCAGATATTTTTGTGAAAGGTCATTTAAGTAACTGCATCTTTTCCCGCCGACCATGCGGCTGGGGGACACTCGGCCTAAGTAAATGACCCAAGATCACTAACTCTCCCACCCCCAAATAACAGGCCTATTTTTCTCTTTTTTAAAGTACAAGCTAGAAGGCGGCTATAGTCAAATATTATTGAGAGCCACCCACCGGCTACTTCTAATACCCAACCCATTTTAAAAATCAGAAATATATCGTCTCCTCCTTCCTACCGCCCTCCATTTTTATTCCCTAGGTGCTCACACCTCATCCGGGGGTCCCAAGCCCCTGCCTTCTTAGTCCAACAGAGTCCTGTTTACATTTTATTGTCCAGATTTTAAGACCCAGTTTTGTCTGCATTTCTCCTTTCCTCCCACAAACACAAACATCAAAATGAGATGGTTTCAAAGAGAAGCGCCGGGCTTGTCGTAAACTCATTACCTCCAGACGTCTCGCCGGCTCGATGGCTTTATGACACCTTGTCTCTTCCTGTTTTCAAAGAGCCCAAGGTATCGGGTTGGCCGCAGGGGCGGGGGTACGCAGCACCTTCTGCCGGATCTGGGCCTTGCGGTTCCCTCCCAGCCCCCCTCTGCTTTTCCTTCAAGTCCCCTCTTTCGGCCGGATCCCCCCAAACTCTGCCATCGCCCCCGCCTTCCGCCCAGCCCAGGCCGCCCGGCGCCTGCCTCTCCGGCCTGCAAAGGCTGGGCTGGGCCCGATCCTTCACTTACAATGACCTTCATTTTAGCCTCTGAACGCGGCCCTCAGAGGGCCGAGCTGGGGGCTAACAACCCAGAAACTGGGTAGGGGGAGGGGCAGCGGGGTGGGGATAGCTGCGGAGGAGAGCCTTGACCATTTTGATCTGCTAAGGTCACTTTGGGGCTCCCGTGGGGAGGAGCGGAAGCTCACGGTCTACCCGGTTCAGCCCTCCCGGAGCCAGCCAGCCAGCCCCGCGGACGTGGAAGAGTTGCCCCAGAGTGCAGAACTGGCCTCTCCCTGGTTTGGAGACGGGGTGTCGATGGCTGCGACTCCATGAGCAGAGGCAGAGGTGGGGCACGGTATGTTAAAGCCCCAGCGAGAGGGTGCCTGGCTTCTAGAGCCCGTGGGGCCGCTGGCACCGCTGCAAGGCTGACACTGGGCCCAGGGCACAGAGGTCGCAGAGGCACTGGAAGCAGGCTAGGCGGCCGGGGGAGGACGGCCAAGTGCCACCAGGGGCCGGGCTCAAGGCTGGGTCTGCCCACCCAAAGGGAGACTCAGAGGCACATCAGAGAGACCTCTC